CTAACATGTATTGTTGTATGTTTTGATACAGTTAAACATGCTCCGTAGCTGGTTGCACTATAAAGACTATTATTGAATATATTTCAATATACGTAGTGGGGTGTATATGGTTAAGATAGGATTTGTCCTTCCTACACAATAGGAATTATATCACAAACCACTTGATTGAGTGAGACTAGAAATGCATGGCCATGCTCGAAGAAGTTGATATGTGATATCATATTCGTTAATTATAGTCTACTCTAGATATCAAGAAACAATAGATGGACTATACAAGTGTGACTTTTCTAAGACTTGTGCCTATTCAAGATATAAAGGACAAAAGGATGTAATACATAAAAGAGTTAATCACGAAGATGATATGTCGAATCATAATTTCTTGTAACTTAGGTGACAATGATATATTGCTAGATGTCACTCATTGTATGTAATATTAGAATTGTTCTAATAATTACTACTAACGTTACAAGAACCTACAGGGTCACACCCTAGGATTGAAATAAGTATAAATGTACAATTTGTTGTATGTTACTAAAATATATCTAGAGTTATTATATGTATATTTGATATACATATCATTTTAATTATCCCGGATATAGTAAGTAAGCATTAAAAGAATGTAATTTAGATTACAACTCTTTTAATTGGTATATATAATTCGGAATAATTAAATACGTTTTTAAATAAACATTAAAGATTTTAATTCATATTATAAGTCTTAATGTATATTTAATTGAATTAATTAAATAATATTTTATTGTTAATTCGAAATAACTTTGAAAACCTAAGATGTTAGGGTAATGGATATAAAAGAGTGTGTTATGTCTAGCACCCGTTTTTAACACACCCATCTTTTAAATACTAGAATAATTAAGAAAATCAATACATTTTCAGCTATTCTTCTTCATTTGGCCGAAACTACAAGTTCTCCCAAAGTAAGATTTTTATTTTGATTTTTGAATTTAGCTATTAGATAGAGAATTAATCTACATGAAATTCTTTATCAATTGATATAAATATATCTTGGTGAAGATAATTGTGTGATGAGATTTGATGATTAGGGTTTAAGGAGGGTTTAACGATCTTAAAGAATTGATGAATGATTTTTACGTTTTTTATGTTGGTGATTATTTTTAAAGCAGATGTGATGATTAAAATTAATTGTACATGCATATATAAGGTTTGACTTAATTAGGGTTTATGGAAGTGTGGGATTTTGATTCAATTTGATGTTGTGATTATTTTAAATGCATGAATTTAATCATAGGAGGTTGAAATCATGCTTGAAATTGAACTAAAAGTCCCCTAGGTGACATGTAACATTCTGCCATAGGGAAGAAATTGGGGGCAAATGTTGCAAACATTCTTATGGATTAGAAATTATATTAGAATTATTCTATGTGTTTTGGAGATTGATTTGGATCAATTTGGAACCTTAAAAGTATAAAAGGGCTAGTTTACAAGTTTTTGGAATTGTGAGACTTAAATGTACTAATGTACAATTTGAGGTATTTAATGTTGATTTTTAATAAGTTTATGCTGGAAATTTCATGTTGGAAGAATAGTTGGGCCCAAATTACAATTTGGTTAAATTGTGATGGTGGAATTCGAAAGGTGCCAAAACCTTGGGGACTTGTTTGCAAGTTATTAAATGTAGAGGTATCATTTGGGTAAATTATTGAATGCTGGAAAATTTATTAGTATTCTGAATTATGAATTAAATATTGAGTTGGGGTTGAATTACAAATTTTTAAAGTTAGGTGGTTGAAAATTGAAAGTTTAGGAAAGTTTGGGTTGAAATTATAATGTTTTGATTGTTGAAGTAGATTTGGGTATTTTATTACAGTGCATGAATTTTAGTAATTAATGAGCAATGATCATAATGGTGAAGGTCCATTATGAATTAAATGGAAAGGTTGAAGTGAATTCTAAAAAAGAATTCACAATTTGTGGCTTATTTTGTAAATTAGCAAAAGATGAAGGGTTAATGATGAAAATAAATATTCATGCATTTGGATGAGTATTTTGAGAAGTTGGAAACTATATGGAAATATGATCTAGTTTGATATTGATTTAATCTCGATTTTATTTTATAGATTATTGAATGTTAAAATCAGCTTATGTTAGTACAATACTAATAGGTAGTTCGAACATTTTGTGTTATTATTTGGTATTGTCATACTACGATATTCCTAGCAATCCGAACGATCTGAAAGTAAATGACAAAGCTCGTGACTAGGATTTTTGTATACAAGTTCTGTAGTGAGGCAAGTGTGAATGCAATTTATTTATTTAACTATTTTGATCGAGGATGACTTGCGATAAGTCAACCTCACCTTGTTAATTTTAAATACATGAATTATGTTTTGATTATGGGATTATATCCGTAATGTTTTAATAAGTTTTATGAATGATTTTGGATATGAATTGCCCATGTCATGTTTTACGAATGTGATTTAAATATATTTTTTATTCTAATATGATTTTTATCAAATGATTACGAAATGAACTGAAATTCCATTGTATGTTATACTGAGAGTCAAAGGTACAATTGGCATGCCATAAGGTGGAGTGATTATATTCCGATTTTGATATGTTGTGGTGTACCGGAGTGTACACTAGTATATATATTCCGATGTGATTGCACTTTGTGTGCATATTGTGATTTTCGATGTGCTAGCACTGTGTGTGCTTACCTGTTCCGATTCTGATGATAGCACTGAGGTATGTATTACGCACACTCGTCTGACTCACATACCTTATATTCTCTTAAATATATGTTGGGCTATAAAAATGAAATATTGAAGTTCTGAAAAGTGTTTGACTATAAAGGAATGTTGACTCATTATTTTGTCTGATATGATTTATTATAATTTTGTAAAAATCATAAGATGATTCTTTTCAGGTTTATGATAAAGAAACAGCTTGAGATATCTTGTTTAAACATTATGAAAGTTTTGTCTATTTTAACTTAAATAATTTGGTATATTTAAATACTTTATTTATTTATTCTCAACTTTAGTGTTACTGCCTCCCTAAGTTATACTTAGTGCATGATGATTTTCATGCGTAGGGTCTGATTGAGATACAAACGTTTTGTAAGGAGCCTCTCAAGCATCTTGTGTAGATCATCTGTAATATTAGTATCAGTAAGACATCATTGATGTTTCTTTTGACTAGTAGTGGCATGTATAATTATGTTATTAGTTTGTTTTATCAGTTATGACTAAATGGTCTGTAATAGTACATTTGGACTGTTTAATTTGACTAGTTTAGTTTACTAGTATTTGATATGCATAAAATATATACGTATATAATATTGTGTTTTTAAATGGTAAGAAGTCCAAAGTAGATATAAATAGTTTTAAAATTTTCAAATAGGTATGTTATTTTTTAAAAGAAACAAAGTTTTAAGCAATTGTGAGTAGTTAACATTGGTTAGTTTGATGTGACATCTATGGCTCATATTTTCAGATGTATATGAGCTATGGATGTTATAGATTGGGTGAATTTTGGTTGGGTATTATCGATGCTACTCTCTGATTATTAAATTCTAATATTATCGTTTACACATTATTTGTTGTTATATATTTAATGATAGAACACACAGAGATGGTAGCTCACTCTGTTTTTATCGTTCTTTTTTCAGATTATCCAGTTATAAGAACAATTTGGCTATTAGAGACATGGTCTCAATTATATAATGTATGGAGTTTAATATTTATTTTAAAACTTTTTAAGATGTGGCATGAGTTTATTTCTGATTTCGCATTCGGTAAATGATTTCAAAACGACTTATTAAATAATTTTCGATCATTGATCATTTGTGTCATCAACATGGTCACCCTGATTCAGTCGTAACTCCTAGGCTAGGTCTAGGGATTACAATGTCCCTGAAACATGATACATACAAGTGCCAAAGATCACATTTCAATAATATACCTATTTATAATTACATAATATTTTTATTGGACTTGCGAAAGAGATTCATTGTAGATGAGTAGAAAATGGACATAAGTTTGGATTTAAAAAGTAAATGACAATACACACTATAATTTACAAACTTATTTTTTAATTAAGTCTTTATTTTTAAATGATGAATATACTTGTTTCTTAGTCAATATAAAATCATATTTAACCCTTAATTTTTACATATTTTATTTTATCGTCTTAATTTAAAATAAATCAGTTATTTTGACCCTATATATATATATATATATATATATATATATATATATATATATATATATATATATATATATATCAATTCAGCTATCTATCAACAAGTTAGTTGTAGTATAGTGGTAATTATTCTTACCTGTTATGTGGGTGACCCAAATTTAATCCTTGGCTACGACGTTAAACTTTAATTTTTCCTCCTTTTCTATTGAAATAAAAAGCGCTAAAAACAATTGAAAACGACTAGCATCGCCTAGACTCAAACTGGAGGCCTTTAGTGTGTTAGACTGACGTGATGACCAACTAAACCATGACACTTGATGGCCTCATGGTTCCACTACGTTTTATAATTTCGCTGAAACATGATACATACAAGTGTCGAAGATCGCAATTCAATGAGACGCCTATTTATAATTACATAATATTTTTTATAGGACTTGTGAAAGAAATTCATTTTAGAAGAGGTGAAAATGGACATAAGTTTGGATTCAAAAAATAGATGACAATACACACTTATTTTTTAATTAAATCTTTATTTTTTAAATGACAAAAAGACTTGTTTCATAATCAGTATAAAATCATTTTAACCATTAATTTGTACATATTTTATTATATCATCTTAATTTAAACTAAATCAATAATTTTGACCCTCTACATTTATCAGTTTAGTTATCTATTGACAAGGTCGTTGTAGTATAGTGGTAAGTATTCCCATTTTTCACGCCAATAACCCGGATTTGATCTCCTGCAACAGATTTAGACTTTAATTTTTCCTCCTTTTTCATCGAAATAAAAAAGCGCTAAAAACAATTGAAAACGACTAGCACCACTAGGACTCGAACCTAAGAACCTTCAGAGTGTTAGACTGACATGATAACCAACTACACCATGATACCTAATGGCTTCCTGGTTCAACTAGGTTTTATAATTTCTCTGAAACAAGATATGAACAAGTGTTGAAGTTCACAGTTCAATGAATACACCTATTTATAATTACAAAATCTTTTTTTATTGGACACTTTTTTAATTAAGTCTTTTTTTCATAAAGTCAAGAAAATACTTTTTCATAATTAGTAGAAAATCATTTTAACCCTTATTTGTACATTTTTTATTATATGATCTTAATTTAAAAATAAATAAATAAATTTGATCATTCACATTTATCAGTTTAGCTATCTATCAACAATGTCATTGTAGTATAGTGGTAAGTATTCTCGCTTATCATATGAGTGAATTGGGTTAGATCCCCTGTAACGGGTCTTACACTTTAATTTTTTTTCTCCTTTTCCTTCGAAATAAAAAGCACTAAAAACAATTGAAAATGACTAGCATCGCTCGGGCTCGAACCGGAAACATTAATTGTGTTAAGCTGACATGATAACCAACTACACCACAACACCTATCGCCTCCTAGTTCAACTAGGTTTTATAATTTCTCTGAAACATGATATGTACCAGTGTCGAAGATCACAAATCAATAATAAGCCTATTTATAATTACATAATCTTTTTTTATTGGACTTCTAAAAGAAATTCATTGTATATGAGTTGAAAATAGACATAAGTTTTGTTTTAAAAATAGATGACAGTACACACTATAATCTACACACTTAATTTTTAATTAATTCTTAATTTTGGTAATGACGAAAATACCATCTTATTTAACCCTTTATTTGTAAATATTTTATAATATCATCTTAATTTAAAATAAATAATTTTGACCCTCCACATTTATCAATTTATCTATCTATAAACAAGTTTGTTGTAGTATATTGGTAAGTATTCCCGCCTGTAACATTAGTGACCCGAGTTTGATCCGTGACAATGGCATTAGTCTTTAGTTTGTCCACTTTTTTCATCCAAATAAAAAGCACTAAAAACAATTGAAAACGACTAGCATCACCAGGATCGAACACGAAGACCTTCAGTGTGTTAAACTATACATGATAACAAACTACACCATGTCACTTGATGGCCTCCTAGTTCAACTACTTTTTAAAATTTCTCTGAAACATGATACGTACAAATGTCGGAGATCACAATTCAATGATGCACCTATTTCCAATTAAATAATCTTTTGTGTATGACTTGTGAAAGAAATTCATTGTAGATGAGGTGAAAATGGACATAAGTTTGGATTTAAAAAACAGATGAAAGTACAGACTATAATTTACACACTTTATTTTAATTAATTCTTTATTTTGTAAATGACGAAGATACTTGTTTTTGAATCAATATAAAAACATATTTAACCGTTAATTTTACTTATTTTATAATATCATCTTAATTTAAAATAATTTAAAATTTTTGACCCACTACATTGATCAATTTAGCTATTTAACAACTAGGTCAGTGGTAATTATTCCTGCCTGTCACTGGGTGACCCGGGTTCGATCCTCAGCAATATTTTAGATTTTCCTCTTTTTCCATCGAAATAAAATGCAATAAAAACAATTAAAAATTACTAGCATCGCCCGAACATGAAATGAAGAGCTTCAGTGTGTTAGACTAACATGATATGTACAAGTTGAAATCCATTGTAGATAAGGTGAAAATGTGCATAAGTTTGAATTTAAAAAATAGATGAAAGTACACACTATAATTTACAATTTTTTTAGTTAAGTCTTTATTTTTTAAAATTACGAAGATTCTTAATCATTATAAAATCATATTTAACCCTTAATTTGTACATATTTTATAATATCATCTTAATTTTAAATAAATTAATAATTTTAACCCTCCACATTTATCAATTTAGCTAGCTAAGAAGGTTGTTGTAGTATAGTGGTAAGTATTCTTGCCTGTCACACAGGTGATCCAAGTTCAGCCCTGACAACAGCGTTAGACTCTATATTTTCCTCCTTTTCCATTGAAATAAAAAACACTAAAAGCAATCCATCAATATAAAAAACACTAAAGATAATTGAAAATGACTAGCATCGCCCTAACTCGAACCAAAGGGATTTTAGTGTGTTAGACTAACGTGATAACAAACTACACCATGACACTTGATGACATCCTAATTCCACTGCATTTTATAATTTCTCTGAAACATGATACATAGAAGTGTCGTAGATCACAATTCAATGATACACCTATTTATAATTACATAAATTTTTTTATTGGACTTGTGAAAGAAGTTCATTATAGATGAGGTGAAAATGGACATAAGTTTTGATTTAAAAAATAAATGACAATACACACTATAATTTACACACTTATCTTTTAATTAAGTCTTAATTTTTTAAATGACAAAGATACTTGTTTCTTAAACAATATAAAATCATAATTTAACCCTTAATTTGTACATATTTTATTATATCATCTTAATTTAGAATAAATCAATTATTTTGACCCTCAACATATATCAATTTAGCTATTTATCAACAAGGTCATTATAGTATAGTGATAAGTATTCTCGCTTGTCACATGGGTGACCCTGATTCAATCCCCGATAACGGTGTTAGACTTTAGATTTTCCTTTTATTCATCGAAATAAAAAGCACTAAACACAATTGAAAATGACTATCATCACCCGAAATCAAACCAGAAACATCCAGTGTGTTAAACTAAAGAGATAACCAACAACACCACGATACCTGATGGCCTCCTAGTTCGACTAGGTTCTATAATATCTTTCAAACATAATACATACCAGTGTCGAAGATCACAATTCAATAATACGCCTATTTATAATTACATAATCTTTTTAGTGGATTTGTGAAAGAAATTTATTATATATGAGCTGAAAATGGACATAAGTTTTGATTTAAAAATAGATGACAATACACACTATATTCTACGCACTTAATTCTTAATCAAGTCTTTATTTTTGAAATGACAAATATACTTGTTTCTTAATTAGTATAAAATCATATTTAACCCTTAATTTGTAAATATTTTATAATATCATCTTTATTTAAAATAAATCAATAATTTTGACTCTCCCGCACTTATCAATTTATCTATCTATCTATCTATCTATCAACAAGGCCGTTGTAGTATACTAGTAAGTATGCCCGCTTGTCTCGCGAGTGACCCTGGTTTGATCTGTGACAATGGCATTAGTCTTTAGTTTTGCCACTTTTCCACCGAAATAAAAAAAGGCTAAAATTAATTGAAAATAACTACCATCACGGGGCTCGAACCAGAGACCTTCAGTGTATTAGACTAACACGATAACAAACTACACCACATAACTTGATGCCCTCCTAGTTCAACTACATTTTATAATTTATGTTAAACATATATATATTTAAAGCATATGTTAGTATTGTACTAACATAAGCAAAATAGAGTAATAACAATCCATAAAATATATTCGATACTTATTCGATATAAAAATTACTTCACTATTCCATAATAACTTCAACATTTATGAATTCATACCAACTTTTCCAATTTATGCAAAATGGACCTTCACGATTTTACTCAATTCCACTTAATTACTGAAGATTCCAACATTGAAATAAAATTATCAACTTAGTACATTCACATTTTCATAATTATATTTAAACGCTCCAAACTTTCCAAACTAGTCACCAAACATACCAAGTTTCTAAAATGATCAATTTCATATTATATCATCAATTTCAACACTGACATTAATTTCCAACATAGTACAACAACGATAGAACAATTACACATCAAACCCAATAATTTCTCATAATTAATGAAAAGGTCCCCCAATTTTATCAAAATTAAAAAATGATCCCTACAACTTTCTAAAGATTGTAGAATCCTTCCTACATCATTTTCAACTTTTACATATTTTTTCTAGAATTTTTCTCATCCTTATACACCATAGGCGAATATCATGGGGTAAGGTTTCTCTAGTTTCCAATTTGATTCAAGCATGAAATCAACCTCTAATCATCATTTCAAAGCTTCTACAATTAAACCACTAACCTAATTTAACCAGTTCATAAATTTCCCTCAACCTAGGGTTTAGGCAAAATTCAACACATATGTTTCTAGGGGTTTAAATCATCAAACAAGCTTGGAAATGATTCTACAACATCAACAACCTCAAAATCCATCATCAAATCTCAAAACCCTAACATGTTCTTCATCCAAAAAATTTTTGGAACAAAACATTCAAGCAAGACTAGGATGCAATATTGGTACCAAATGATAGAGCTCTTCAAATAGATCAATTTCCTATTTCACACTTTAATCCAAAAACCAAAGGAAATTGCTCAAAAATGAAAAATAAAATTTCTCTTACATATGGTTGGGATACACGGCCAAGAAGTAGAAAAATGTACAAGTCTCATGAAATTTCTAGTTAATTTCATGCTAATTTGTCATTTATTAAGCTTAAATGAATTTAAAATTCATTTAACTGTAAAATGAAAATTTCACCCTTAATGAAACTTTATAATTACATGATAATTATCATCTTCCAAAGTCAAAGATGAACAAATTATTTTACCCTTTTCAACTTTACCCATGTACTTTTCTAAAAATTTTAATCTTGTCATTTTTCATCCAATGATCCAAAATGAACATGGAAATAAATTCTCAAAGCCAATGATCTATATAATTTCCATCATGTTAAAATGCGGAAAAAATATTTCTAAGCTTAATTTATCATCATTCAAAATTTCTATTCGATCCGATTTACCGGATTTATATTGAACGTTAACACTTTATATTTTTTAACACAATGTCAGGATCAAATTTTTTTTCCCATAAAAATATCTTTCTTGGCGGTGAACTATTCATTTATGAAGTAAAATTTTGTTTTGAGAAAATTGCCACTTTAGTCCCTAAACTTTTCCCAATTTTAAACTTTAACCCCTAAACTTTTAAAATTTATATTTGGGTCACTAACCAAAATATGGGGTATTACAATTCTCCCCCTTAAAAAAATTTTGTCCTAGAATTTTAATACAT